CACCCGTACCAATGTTACATAATTGCGGCTAAGAATCGAAGCTAGAAATAATTAGATTTTAACGAAAAAAATGTATTCATAAATCGTTTAATTAAAATTCTATTTGTAAAGGACATTATAATTTGATTCTTCGTATCGTTCAGTCGCGAAGGTCGAAGCAAGCAAAGAAGACTGGCCGATCCTCCAAATTCGTTTCAAAAATGATTGTGGCACGTGCTTATCGAAAACCCAAGTTAATATGAAGACTCTGGACTCGTAGAATTTTCCAGTTCTACTACGCAGCTCGCAATCAAAGGGACTGTATTCTTTCTTGCACTCCTTTCTTCATTGACGTTAAAACATTATTTGAATTAAATTTACAACTCGTGGTTTTGAATCATGCTACACATCTGTTGTCTATAGATTCTAATACAAAATTCTTTGCGTACTTACTAATTGACAGTTTCTTGTTATCTAGGTTGATTTCTAAAATGACTTAAACCACACTTATGGTTTAACAAAAATGTACAAAAATCACAAACTTATCTCTCCGACAGACTCAGATATTTTAAGAAATTGTCCCTTTTGCCTTGTTAAACCGGCTACTATTTGGCTGTTAGTTGAAGTTTCAATCTTGCCCGGTAGGCATASTGTCGCAAAATAACAAGGAATGACCGGGAAATCGATGTCAAATTATTCCCGCTGAATTCAAATTCGGAAAGAGTTATCAATTGCAAACGTTAGATACTGTAAAAAGGAGTTAACTGGCAAAATTTAAAGGACGTACTTGATCTAGAAAGCGAGTAAACTCATTTTTAGAGCGCGTCATCAGCGCGTGACGCGCGTGAAAAATACAAAGAAATGTATTGAGAACTAAAAATAAATTTTCTCGCTCCCTAGATGAAGTACATCTTTCAAGTTTGGCCAGGTAACTCCTTTTCGTAGCATCTAACGTTTGCAATTAATAATTCTTTCCGAATTTGAATTCAGCGAGAATCATTTGACATCGATTTCCCGGTCCGTTCCTTGTTTTTTTTGCGACACTATGCCTACCGGTCCAAGATGGCGGCCAAAACCGTCAACTTATCTATTGAACTCCCGAGATATCGATCGTTGATTGGTGCTGAGGCGAAGTTGTGTTTAGGGATTGTTATTATTGCTTTTTGACACTTTCGGTGATTTTATTTGCGTTTCGGTATGGGCCAGATGTTACGCTAGCGGTATGGCAGCATTTACCCAACAATCGCAAATTCTACATAGTTGTGGCTACAATAGACTGCATGGGATTTATCTCGCCGGCTTATTATCCAGAACCGAAGTTAAATTAATAAAATTTTAACGGAAAAAACTATATTCATAAATCGTTTACTTAAAATTTTATTTGTTAAGAAATTATAATTTGAGTAATCGTATCGTTCCGTATTCGTTTACACAATCAAWCTTCGAGTTCTGTTGCCATTGGCGGCTTAATTCAGTGCGTCTTTACTCTAATATAAYGTATGCACAGATGACGTCGAAAACTAGATAGTACGACACCAGACGAATGCGCGACGAATGCGCGACTGTGGTTGTCATTTCGACGTTTTCTGGGTATTAGGGCTATAGCGTTAACTCCGTTGAGGCAACTATAGAGCAATAAAAATTTCATAGATATATATGTGGAGTASGCCTTTGAGAACCGACGCAAGGAAAAATGGAATCTATTTTAAAARTTTTATATAATACTTTGCTTTACTGTAAATTTTCTCGTGTCATATCATTACACAACACTGAGTTTTAATGATATGACACGAGCTTGAGAAAATTTGAACGAAAAGGCGACAGTAGGTAACACAAASGGAACATCACGAAATAACATCCTTTAATTATGATAATTGTAGCAAAATGAAAAAATAAATYGCGCTGCAGAGAAAAATTAGTCGCGCTACAAAATACGCAAAACCAACGCAGTACGCGCATACCAGSGATAACCTAGAAAACTGAATAATTATTCATTGATRTATTATGACACGGAATACACAAATCATGCCGACATTTCAGTTTGTTCAGTTAACTTCAGTAACATTGAATTTTATGAAGTGTTGCTTTGTTTGTGTTGCCCACTTACAGTTATGGGAAGTTCCTCTTTCACAAACGTTACTGTTTTTCTAAAAAAAAAATTAAATCCTTAACATTCAAAAATATTGATTTTGTGATCCATTATGCACTCTTTGTTCTACACTGATGTAGACATTGAAGAACATTTTCAAATTCTTTAACTGAAAAAAATGGGTGCGAATTAAAAACAATCGAACCAGCGCTATGTATTGCATAACCTGACATTTTCTCTAAACCTATGATMCTATGAATTCTTTCTCCTAATTCCAATATAAAAGTCGGGCTCCCTTTGTTTGGAAASTGACACCGGAAGCAGAACCAAAGCGGAAGTAAAAATTTATCTGGAACAAGGGAACCAATCAAATACGTCTGTTCCCGGCTGCACGTGAAGWTTGAATCACAATTTCTAGCTCTCCTTCTCAGAGCAGTTTATACAACTTGTTCTAAGATGAAGCGCAAAAACCGTTCTTCAAGCTCTACTAACGATGAACGCAAAAGTAAGAAGACAAGAAAAGTTTCTGACCTAGAAGAAATCCAAGAGCTGTCGAAATTGGACTTCAACTCGGCAGAGAAGTTGTTCTCGTCTTTAATTGCCCCTATCACTTCAAAAACGTTTTTCTCTGAGTACTGGGAGAAAAAGCCGTTGCTGATTAAACGAAACGATATTTCTTTCTATGGTCCCTTATTTTCTAAGTCTGACTTGGAAGCTGTTTTGAAGAAAGAAGAAATTGAATTTGTCAACGATGTCAACGTGTGCTGTTATGAGGACGGTGACAAGTTGTACATGAATGACGACATTGGCTCCAGAGCAACGTGGACTCGAGTGTCGAAAGATGTGAAAGAACGCAATGCAACTGTTCAATTTCACCAACCCCAGCGTTTTAAGGTAATAAATACGTTATTGCATCCGGTTGAGCATAGGAGAAGGGGGGAAGTGTAGTTGTCATAGGAAAACGGGTTGTGGACTCTTCCTACTCGACGAACCTTTTGATATTTGTATGTGTGTGTGCATATATATATATATTTATATTTGAGGGGGGGGGGGGAGCAATTTAATTATAGGAACAGAAAACATGATACTGAACATGCACCAGTTCGATATTCCAATTTGTTTCTTTTGAGCCAAATGAAATATTGCTTGCACCAAAAACTTTTTGCACAATTTTCTCACATAAAAAAATTGCCAAATTTGATTTCGGATCTAACATAACATAACAATATACCGCACAGTATGGAAGTCATACTGTGGTCCTTCTCAAAAATCTACTCATCTTCCCTATAATATCGGTATTAATTTATCAATAGACTTTTTAGTAATTGATTTTGGAGCACTCAAGGAAAAATTCTAAAAAGTATTGGCAGGGGATATATACCAGGGTTATATCTTATCTGTATTTATAAAATAACTTTCATATTACGATTCACGTCGTGGTTTCCTACACTTCTCTGGTGTTCTCCCCATATCCCGCGTGTTTTTATCAGAGTATAATACACAGAAAACTGCTTTTTATTCCCTAAATCGCCTTGGTTTATCCAAAATATAGCCCTTGAATTTGTAATTTCAGGGAAGTATGTTGAGATACACAGGTCCACACAAAAAACAAAACAATGAAAACCGATTCAATGAGATAATAAACTCTATTATCATATAATTATCTATGAAATACCTGTATTTCTCCATTTTGCAAAATTGATATTTTCACCATTATATGATAAACAGAATATTACATGGTTCGCTACACTCACTCRTGAGAGATCTTTTAAACAGTTACAATATTTTGAAAAAAATATGGACCAAGCCAAACTATATAATAACTCATCCTTTCTAATTAACAGTATGGTGCTTCTGATGCACAATACCAAGCAGAAAAGTATTTGCATCTTTTGCATTTTTAGGACATTCTTTGGAAATTAACTGCTCACCTTGAATCAGTCTTTGGATGCCTGGTTGGTGCAAATGTATATATCACTCCTTCAAACTCCCAAGGTCTTGCACCTCATTATGATGATGTCGAGGTAAGATGACTAGATGTGAATAATTATTAAATGCAGCGACAATTGACAGTTCAGGTAGTGATTTCATTCACAACTTTTACCTACAGGAAATTTAGTTAWAAATTAAAACCCTCAAGGTCAGAAATAATGCGAACAAAAGTTGCTACTACTGTTAAGTGTACTAGTCCTGTTATCAGGGCTAGTCTTGTTTGTATGCTAGTACTGTTAGTGGAGTCATTTTCATCCCAATACTCGACTTTCACATATCAGTTGGAAAAAAATTTAAAATCAGCCCCAGATACACAACATTGTAGTGAAATATCTTGAGAAGCATGATAGAAGTTTTCTCTAAAAAAAAGAATAGTCTCAGTGTCAAATTAAATGTTTACAATCATATTGTTTTTAAGTTAAAAGTTAAATCATTAKTTTTGAGCTCAATTATTCGGAGTTACKGTCCGCCATGTTTGTTCTTGAGATTAGGGAGTAGAGGATGTCGTACAACTTTCCATATATGAATGTCCATATGCATGGCTCTGATGTACCTATAAAATGCTCTCATTTCCCTATAGAAGCTAGGTTCATTAAATATATATTCAATCTTATGTACATATATGTGGTCATTCATGCATGTTGTTGCATAATATCATAACAATTCAGGTTCACTCAAGCAAATTGGTCTCATGGCTTAAGGTATCTGGGGACAGTTGTTTTTAGTACCGACCATTACGAAAGAAACGCATCGAAATGCAGTTTATTTTGCTTTGATCCGGTCAATCTTTTGTCAAATGAAAGATAAAAGACCAAAATATGTTATATATAGATTTCATGGAAATCGAGTATAATTTATTCAATTTACGGGGAAATCCTGGAAAACACTTAAACTTGAATATTTCGCAAACCAGCCCTATTTTCTCTAAAATATTTCTGAACCTTGTTATTAGTGGTATTACAAATGTGTGTGAAAATTTTAGACGAATTATATCGAGCGCAACTTAAAATATGATCTCGTATACACGGAGCAGGCTTTTTCAAAGAAAAAACTCGAGCTCAAAGTTAAAAATTGTTATTTCGATTTCTATTGCATGTAGATCATTCGATTTCTGTGCTAGTGAACTTTGTTCCTATTTCTACATTCATGTTTAGTTTGGGCGCTGTTCGTCAATTCGTTGCTGAGGTAGAGCCAGAATACTTAAAGTGTAGTTTTAGTGCTAGTCTGCCCATCTGACGGATACGAATGTCGAACGTCGTATCTCAAAAACCTGTCCAA